ACAAGACCACAAGCCTGAACAGATAAATGGAAACACTGGACAGAAGACAACAGCTCACACACACATATATATATATATATATATATATATATATAAAAATAACACACTCAGAAAATATTTCATTTTGTGAAATTAAGCTTAAAATAATAAATGTATGACTATCCTGTCACTTAGTCTTTTCTTCATAGTAATAATGAGTATTTTTAGGACATGTTATGGTATTAAAACACTTTAATTCCATGAATAAATATTAGCAAATTTTAAAATGATATCAAAATTAATTTGACCTTTAAATCCAGAGGTGTGAAGAGCCACTATTCCCCCTCAGTGAGGATAGAAACTCCAGATGGTGGTTGGCAAGCAAGGACACAGGTCAGAGCAGAAGACTAAAGTGAACTTAATTCCAATCAGTATTTTATAAAAAAAATCCTTTATGAAGTGCTGAAGTGTGTTTTAGACTACAGTAAATAATCAACTCACTGTCTAGCGATTAATATGGACCTTGAAATTAGGCATACATTTTATCCAAAATAAAGTTCTCATCAAAAGAATAGCCAACTTTAAGTAGTTTTTGTTGTTCAAAATTTGAGAAGTGCACAAGGCGCTAAAGTTAATAGTATTTGATGTTTTTAAAATGTACCAGACTGGTGAATTTAACATGACAGGGTTTCAGAAAAAGGTTTCTTGGTTTTTATTTTCGACGTTTGTTCAACTGTTTGACAAGTTTGGTTCAAAATGTTCTCTCAGTTCAGATTTATGTCACTACCAATCATTACAAACCTACATAGTTTTACAATTCTACAGATGTTCCTTTTTCCATTTATTATCTACAATCCATTTAACCTATAATAAGGTTATTAAATTGCAGTTTTATCTTATGCCATTAAAAAAGCTGATGATGTCCATGTATAACACAATGTCAATGCATAACATGTTTGCTGTTTTTGATATCACTATAAGGTGTTTGGTTGTCTAAGCCTTCCTTTGTTGTTCTAATAGAACAAATGTTTTACTAGTATTGTTAAATATGTTATACAAAATAAATGAGAACTGAAAAACACAATTTTCCATTGGTAATTCCCAGACTCCAGAATATTTCATAGAACACTTTATTCTGAACATGCTACCGAATACATTGTAAAGTTCTACTGTTGCAAGTATGAAAAAGATAACTAACACCTCATTTGAATGTACATATCCCCCATAAATATAGAGGAGGAAGTGCTAACGTTCAAATGCATGCATGAGGTTGACAGTGCATTCCAGGTAATGCCTACAACACTGTGTAAAGTAACAATAATATTGTAACACTAACAGTATATGCTGAATGAATCAATAATACAAGTTATTTTCTGGCCTGGAAATTGATTGACCAAATTTGATTTGCAGTGTTCCATAACAGAGTATGCAGAGATCAAGTTGGCCTGATATCTGCACAGCAGTGATTTTCTATGACCAAATCACAGCCGTGCTGATATTCAGAACAGCAGCATGGTTGCTCATATTGCGTAATTGTGTAATGCATCACAGACAAGTTAAGAATGTAGTAAAACCGATTTAGGCCAAATTTAGTGAAACAGTATCTACATTAGTCACAAGACAATGACTAAACGAATCCTCAGACCTCGTAGAGACCAAAGACTACATTAAATGAGTGTCACAAATTCCTTGTAAATGGAATGCGTTTTCAAAACCTATTTACATAGCAGTATAACTATTTATCGTAACCCTTGTGTCTAAAATAACTAAGTAACTAAAGGAGCTTATTGTGGGACGTGACAACTGTTCAAAGACAACCTTTAATTAAAAAAAAAAAAAGGTTAAAGGGATAGTCTCTCCCCACCCCAAAAAAAAGAAAAAGAAAATTTTCACCATTTACTCACACAAATTATTTCAAACCTATATGAATTTCTTCTGTTAAACAAAATAATATATTTTGAAGAATGTGGTTAAAGGGATAGTTCACCCAAAAATGAAAATTTTGTCATTAATTACTCACCCTCATGTAGTCCCAAACCCGAAAGACCTCCGTTCATCTTCGGAACACAAATTAAGATATTTTTGATGAATTCTGAGAGCTCTCTGACCCGCCCATAGACAGCCATGTAATTAACACAATCAACATCCAGAAACGTAGCAAGCAGATCGGTAAAATAATCCATGTGACATCAGGGGTTCAACCGTCATTTTACGAAGCTACGAGAATACTTTTTGTACGCAAAGAAAAAAAAAAATTACTTTAAACAATTTAGTCTCCACCCTATAGCGCCATTTTGTAGAGTATCCACTGAACATAAACAGCGCATGCTGTTCTGTGTCAGATACGCTACGTGGATACTTTGTTTTCGTTAAAATCAAAGCGTAAACAACGTAGCGGACACAGATGTAGCTGACAGAACAGAATACACCGTTTACGATCAGTGGGTACTCTTCGAAATGGCGCTAGGATGACAGAGGTGACTAATTGTTTAATAAAGTTATATTTGTTTTTATTTGCGTACAAAAAGTAATCTCGTAGCTTCGTAAAATTACGGTTGAACCCCTGATGTCACATGGATTATTTTACCGATCTCCTTGCTACCTTTCTGAACGTTGATCGTGTTAATTAAATTGCTGGTCTATGGGAGGGTCAGAGACAGTGTTCATTTCTTTGACGAATCATTTTTGTCACAATTTTCTTCAACAACATTTTTTTCACCGAGACGATAACGAACTAAAACTCTTTTTGAATGACAAAAACTATTATGTAAATCTATTGACATTTTCGTCAACGAATAAAAACGAGACGAAAATGTTACGGAGGGACGATTTGGGAAGAGATTCATTCAGAAAGAATCTGCTGCATAGTTAGGAGGTTAGATGCGTACATATGAACCGGCGGGACATAAGCTAACATACACTTGCTGCACGTCGCATAAAACATTAAAAAATGTCAATATGTGGGAGTAAGAGAAGAGCATCCATATAGATAAATCTGATGACGCAAGAGAGAACTCAATTCGGTCTGGTTTTCTGAGCGCAGAAGCATACGCACACAGAAAGTGCGTCTCACAGCACACAAGTACTCTCGCATTGCATGAATGGAGAATTACACACAATTATGTTGAATTGTCTGTTTTGACGAGTATTCACGTAAACAGTTGATTACGTCATAAGTGAACGTAAGCAGTAGGGAGAACGTGTCTCAGTAGGCGACATTGTAGAGGTCTACACGGAGGACCCGAGACCCGAGGACCCGGGATCCATACGGGTTCGGGGCTATATTTTAAATGGTCAGCCGGGTCCGGGTCGGATCCCAATCTATTACTTCGGGTCCCGGGTCTGTTTAACATTGTGTGTAATACCCGAGTCGATCGGACTCGGAGAACACCCGGCCGTTATCAGAGTCAGTCAGCGCTATGCGTGTGTTGTTTTGTAACTTTCAATTTGTAAAATTAGGATGAGAAAAGTGAGTCGGTAATTTGAAATAAAGTGGGGGGGAAAAAAACCCCGAGCCACGTCATCAGAAGCAGGGTGGGCGGAGTTAATGCACACGCACGGTGATAATGGATACCTTCATGAGTGATGCGAGTTATTATTGATTATTCTTTTAATAATATTATGAATGAACCGTATTTTGTTATATCTAAAATGTTTGCGCAGACTCGGCTCAGAGAGCACAGAGATTATAGCAAATAAGTAAAGCTAACGTCAGCAGCCATGCATGCACTGGACGAGCAATCGTTATTATAATCCAACTGGGCAAACAGTCTAAATTATTATGCAAGTTGACTCGAGATACAAAAAATGCAAAACTGCAAAGTCGCATTTGTCATCCGTCACCGTGACAGCAAGTGGACTTTTGAAACTGGAATAATGAGTGGATTACGCATTTCAATTGGCAAGAGAGGAATAACACAGATGGAACTTTCTTGGCCGGGAGGATTGTGTGCATCACAGTCAGGTACAAGGGAGAAGGCTTCTTACATTAGGTTCGACTTGTTAATAGCAATTTGCTGTGGAATATGTGCCGATCGGGTCCAGTCGGGTCGGTGTCTTCCCGGCCGGGTTCGGGTCCATCTTTGAAATAATTGACGGTCCGTGTCGGTTCCGGGTAGTACATTTTTGACATTTCTCGGTTCTGCACGGGCCCGGGTCCAACTTTCAAAATAATAGACGGGTCCGGGTCAGTTCAGTGTAGCACATTTACGGGTCTCTTCGGGTTCGGGTGCAAATTTTTGGACCCGTGTAGACCTCTACTACATTGCATCCATTGCAGCTGTGCATTCGGTTTTAAAGGGACAGCAGCCTAATTTAGTTGCTATTGTCCGAGTCATTGATGTTAATCAAGCAACAACAGAAAGACAGAAAATCACGCACTGCTCTTGACTGAAAAACTTTAGTAGCCCTAAAGATTAATTAAATTTATTATTAAATAAATAAATATGTCTGCTTGAAAGAATGAAGAATATGGTAAACAAGTTGCTATAAAGAATGCATAATTAGCCTATATAACCATTGGTATTTCATTAAAAAGAAGACCATGTTCTTGTTCTTTATGAGAAGTGGTTATATTTAATTTTAACATAAAGGCATGTTGTGTGTCACCGCAGTTAAATCGGTGTCTATCATGATAAAACCTTAATATCAAACCTATATATTGAGTTTGGAAATTTTATAGAAATGCTTAATTAAATGTACTGTAACGAAACCCATTAGATTTTAGACGACTAAATTTACTGTAGATTTAGTTGACTAAAACTAAAAACAATTCAGATGACTAAAATATGACTAAAACTAAATCAAAATTTGCTGTCAAAATTAACACTGGTCAGAGAGCTCTTAGAATTCATCAAAAATATCTTAATTTGTGTTCCGAATATGAACAGAGGTCTTACGGGTTTGGAACGACATAAGAGTGAGTAATTAAATTACATTAATAAAAAATTTGGGTGAACTATCCCTTTAACGAAACAGTTGTGGTCCCCATTGACTTCTATAGTATTTTTTCTATAGGGTGAGTAAATTGAGGGTAAATGATGACAGTTTATATTTTTGGATGAACTATCCCTTTAACTTGACTTTGTACATATGTACATAAACCGTGATCATGACTCTTCCTCAGACACACGAACCTTACTTTCATAAGACACTAGAGTCTGGTAAAGACTTTCTCTGCTTTGGTTTCCACTGGCACTGTTCCACTGCTCAATTTCACGTGCAGAGGAGCCACCTTTAAGCAGATCCACATAGTCAGTGTTCTGATGAAGAAACAAAATGTGGTCAAGGTGTTTAGACCCCAGTGTGGCCCTTCTTTGGGTCACTGGGGACTCCCTAGGGGCAAAGGCTCGATTGGCGGACACAGAAGTTGCAGGTATGGACAAGTATTTCCGTGCCAGTCTGGCCACAGCAGGAAAGCGATGCTCCTTGTTGCGCCACCATTGCAGGGGCGAGAGACTCCGTCGGCAAAGTGGCTCTGCTATGTAATTCTCCAGCTGCTGGTGAATCTCTGGCATTCGCTCAGTAGGATCCTCGCCCAGAAGAATATCGTACATGCTCTGCGGGAGAGGACTCGTCCGTATACGAGGCGTGAGCTGTAAATTTCCTCTCAGCGGCGAGGTCATACTGGTCCCGCTAGAACGTCTTTTACGGTCACTGGCATTCTTGAAAGGTGATCCAACCTCAAGCGTGTTTTCATTTACCTGTTCTGGAGACGATACGGCAACAGATGGCTCGCTCGGCTGCAGCTCAACGCTGTCACCTTCCTCCGCCGATCCAATCGATTCTGGAGAATCTAAAGAAGCCATTGCAGGAATTGGCAAGGAATCATTCAATCCAAAACCTGCAGGTTCTCCACGTTCATCCACAGGCTCTTCCATTACCATGCTTTGTCTCCTCTCTCCATTCATTCCTTCGTTACTTGTGAAAGCCTGAACAGATAGCAGCTCTTTCACTTTGTCGTGCAACTTGCTGCGAGCATGTGGGCTGAGAAACCGCAACTCTTTAAAACGCGGGTCCAGAAATGAGGACAATATGGCAGAGCAGTCCAAAAGAGCATCTTCATCACTCAGACTCCAGCGTTTGTCCATACCAGCACGAATTCTCTCCATAACTCCCCTAACCACTGGACAGGTGCACTCTGCAATTTTCTGTCCCAGGAGCCGAGACACTCCTTGCAGGCACGGCATTAGGGCCGAAATGGGTCCATTGATATCCTCGCTCAAAAATGATGCTGCAATGCGAACCGTTTTGAGCACAGGAACCAGTTCATGTATAAGACGCCACTGGTGATCTGCCAGATTTGTTGCTACTTTTTGCTCCTCTAGGACAGAGCTTATTACCCACTTGAGCTCCAGCAGACTCTCACACATCTCAATGGCAGTGGTCCAGCGCCCTGGATTGTTCAAGACCAGGCATGCGGACTCTTTATTAACAGCCTTTGCTTTCTGGCTCAGTGCTGTAGAAGCATTCACATCATGCTGGAAATGTAGGACGATGGCGCGAGCATCTGCCAGAGCTTGTCTGACAGTCTCCACACAAAGTCCTTCCTGGACACAGAGTTTCAGGGCTTGTCCTGCACAAAGCAGTGGTGCCCATCCCTCTGGAAGATTACCCGGAGGAGGATGGCTGGGTCCAGCAAATTCTTGCTGATATTCCTGATCAATGGCCATATTCTCCTGCCCTCTGGACTCCGATCTACTGGGGCTGTCATGCACGACACAGAAAACAAAGTTCTCTGGAAGTTGGAACTCGGAGAGGACTGCTCTCAAGGTGTCCGCAAAGCTCACTTGCCCTCTCTCAGAAGGGTTTCCTTTGAATTCTGCTATCGGTCGGGTCTCGAGCACACAACGAGCCAGGCGCCAGTTAGAGTCGACAAAATGCGCACTGACTGTAAGGTAATACTGACCATCCCCATCAACCCCACACCCATCTATGGATCGCCAGTATTCGGTGCAGAGGGTCAGACAGTGAGAAGCTAAACTGGTCTGTAGATGCTGCTGAAGGCATTGCTTGAGGATGTGGTAGCGATGCCAAAGTAGACTGCCAAGCAGAGATGGAGAAGGCACAGGGTAGTTAGGCTCTAGGCAACTCAGTAAGAGCTTGAACCCCCTTTCTTCCACCACAGACAATGGCTGAAGGTCTCTGAAGACCATTTCCAAGATAAGATCGGTCAACACCTCTGCTCGCTTGTTGCTGCAGGCCCTTGAGCCACTGCGGTTGCTGCTGCCTCCAGCAGTGCTGCTCATCTCCCCTGCAGGAAAATTATACATTAGGCAGCCCAAATCTGTTTCTTGGTGCACAATGGCATTTGAACTGGAAGCACCGCTTCCTGCTGCACAATCAGGGGCATATGTTGTCCGGGCAGGTTTGGTCTCCGCCATCTCAGCTGGCAGTATTTCTTCCTGCTCCTCTTTGACAGTAACAGGTAGCACTGGTTGAAATGGAGCATTGCCTGTGGTGTTACATCTGTTACCATGTAAAGAGGTCTGAATGTGAGAATGCAACGCTGCAGGAGTGGGGATGCCTGCTGTGTTGTGAGGGGGAACTGCTCCATCCCGAATGCTGTGTTTGCGTCCTAAGTGTTCTCTCATGGAAGTAGTGCTGTTGTGAAAGGAAAGCTGCCTTTTACAGTGGTTGCACTCAACACGATACAGACTTAACTGTGTGTAGTGGTTCCACACTTTTGACGTGCGGCGATCAGAAAATGGCAAAAACCGCTGCATTCTCCGACGAATTATTTGACCGTTGTGACTTCCAGGATGCATTTGAGGTGGGAGATCCATGTCTGTGGTGAAAAAGAAATTTAAAAAAATACTTTTTTTGAGTATGTCATTTAAGTACAACTTGATTACACAGGAACTTATGTAATTATGCTAACTAGCACACTTACAATTAAATTGACTTTGTAATGAAAAAGATGATAAAATCTTTAATCCTAAATCCTTAATGTGATGAATCTCAAGAGTTTTTATAACATATGTTTTCATAGAAATAATAAGTCCATGGTTAGAATGTGATCCTTGCAAACTTGTTTACTGGGGCCAACAAAATGTCACAATTGTACAGAAACCCCAGTGCTGTACACAATCTTTGTAAATCTAAAGAAATAGCATTATCAGCACTGTCTTCTTGTTTATATTCTGACTTAATTGTAACATTTTTTTAATGCTGTGACATACTCAGAGCTAAAATATAGCTTTCAATGTCCACTCTTTGTTTTATCTCAGATGTGGTCAGTTGTAGAACACTGTCACATAACCTAAATGCATCCAAAGCGCAACACAGTGAAATGCTATAAAAGCGCAATTGTATGATGAGGAAAAGGTGCATTTTGATATTTTTTTGATTCTGTAACTTGACACTATTTCATGAGTTCATCACCCTTTGGCTTATTTACCATTTATATCAAAAGGTCCGGTGTTGTGCCGAATTCTGCACCCCTGCCAGATTATGCACCCCTCGTTAAAGTCGCTAGCTGATTGCCTAATTTCAACCCCTCCCCCACACCTACCAATACTAGGGGGTGCATAATTTGGCAGGGTGCAAATTTCGGCACTACACCGGCAGTGTGTGAAATTATTTTAAAACTACAAATATACCATCCACGTAGTATCTTACGTTGCTATTATTATTACTACTTGATATAACGGTTTAAATAATAATTATACCAGAAAACGGTGGTAAATGTTGGAACAAAATATAGCATGTCACACAGCGGAACAATCAAATCATTTTTTGTTTATCGCGGGAATATTTAGAACAAATAATGAGATTTGTATTAAGAGACTAACTCCATGTCAGGTGCAGCTCTTGCTCGTTACAAGAGCGTTTAGCCAGAGAACAATAACCATGCAATATGATACTAAATGAAACAATTCCGCTATTATTTACAGTAAACGTCACTGGATGTTCTTCCGGGCGAGCACAAGGGCCATTACGGTTTCATCCGCTTCCAGCTCGTGTGTTACCACCAATAAATAGGACACGCGTCCGCAATACTGACTTATATAACTAATTTATTTTCTCTTCGCAAAATAAATAATACCTTACTAATAACATATTTAAAAAAATCTCAGAATTCCTGCACACCTTCCGCTCGTTTGCGACCTGCACACTGGATGTGCTTGGCGCGGTGGCCGCTAGGGAACTAGGGTAAGTTCTACACAGACAACAGAAACGAAAAATGTGCATCAGTCGCGTTTATATATCATAACTGCTCGACTCTGCTCGTATTTATGATATATGAATTGTTACATAATTGTAAATATGCAATTATTAATTGATAACTAGTAATGTAGAAACCACAATTCGGTTATTTTGAAAACAACTATTTTGCAACAATCCCCAAAGTCTTAGCGAATTTACTTCCGATTTCCGCATGATGTGTCAATAAAACAAATAACTTCATTTCAGGCGATGTGAATGGGATATTGCTTGGATATCATTCCCTACAGTCTGGCTCAAATGTAATCCGACAAAATGGATTATTCTGGAAAAGAAAAGGAAGCTATGGCCATCATGGCTGAGCCGGACAAAAAATGAAAACGTCACATTCGTTATTCGGGTCGGTTTTTGGGTAAATCCATTAATGATGTTTTTGCACCTCTGCGATATTAAATGTGCAAATCTTGAACATCACAATTTAACAAAAATACTAAGCATCAAATACAATTCGTTTGCAACAAGCAATGTTAAAATATAATTTGAATTAACCAATATAATCGATAAGCAATACTTTCGTAAGTGCATTATTTGTAATACAATGTTGTTCGCATTTAGCTGGCTTAAATCTACCAGGGTTTATTTTTCCAGATGGCACAAAAGTGAAATCAGCTAGTTAGCCGAGTAGCATCGCATTGCACGTACAGAGTCATAATAAACAGTTGCGTGCGCTTAATGTAGCGTTTCCATCTCGCCTTCATTCATACGCAACTGAAAACTAATGCGCACTGAGACATACAGCTTACTTTGCCTCGATTTGACACTTTTGAAACTCACCCATGCTGCCTTTGTTGGGCTCTTCCGTGCATAGTCTCTCGCCGCCGTTGGATACAGTGGGGATGTTGAGTCGATGTTTCACTCTGAGGTGTTTTATCATGTTGGCTGTATTCGAAGAGAACTTAAAGTTCGTCTTACACAACCTGCAGTAAACAGTGGCACTGCTCTCGTTTTTGATGTAGTACTTCCAGGCTACGGAGCAATAGCGGGCCTGTGTTTTTGCACTGATTTCCGACTCCTCTTGCTTCATGTTGGCCATATCAGTGGAAACACGTTGTGTGAGTGCAGCTGAACGCAGCTAATAGCGCCTCCTATCGGTTTCTGTGAAATGAATGAACCTCCCCCTTTATGGGATTACATTTGTGCCAATTTAAATGAATGTAATTTTCAAGAAACTTATGAAAATAGAAATTAAAACTGAATAAAATGTCTTTGAAACTGAAAAAACATTAAATGCAAGCAAAATCTTTGACTTGAATCACAGACGAATGATTTCATCATCATTATCATCAATCATCGTTGTTATCAGGATACTTGCGGTAAGTTTTCTTGATTTAGCCCAATCATTACAGGACCTGGTTATCTACATACAGTTACAGTCTTCAATTGGATCATATTTGCTTCGATTAGTTCATATTTTCCCCAGCACATAATGTACAGTACTAAATGTACTGTATCTGACAATGACCGATGCCATTTTACAAGCGCACTGTCAACTTTAGCAATGTAAAGGCTTTTTACCATGCTTTTTCTGTGTCCAGATTTGACTGTAATAATACTCAAAGCAGTTTGTATTGTTAGACTATAATACATGTCCTTTCTCAATTTCCAGGGAGCGGAGCAACTTTTCCATAAACAAACTTCTGATGCTGACCCAGAGGATGTAGGGGTAGTACCAGAGATCCATTGCCCCCATCAGACAAGATTCTTACTTTGTTCAGACACATCACTTTTGAATGACTGGGATCTTGATCTTCAGACACCTGATATTATGCAAATATTTTAATTTCTTTGGAGCTCTAGATTAAAACAATCACAGTTCACAAGTACACAAGAGGTTGCACTTTATTTGTATTAGTCTATGCTGATCTTGGATTAGCATACCAACAGCATACGATTGTTAAGGGGATAGTTCACTCAAAAATAAAAATTCTCTCATCTTTTTTTCAGAAAGGCGGGGCATAGAGGAGAAACAATAATGTACAGTATGTGGAAAATAATGTGTTTTTTGAACTTTAAACTGCATAAACACATTTCATTACACCAAATACACAAAATAATGTTCTTTTTTGCAGCATCATATGACCCCTTTAAAACCTTTATTATGAATTATGAACATATTCTGGATATTATGTTCTTGTGCATTTTGTGTAGAAATGTAAATTATGAGAATACTGTGCATTACATGTATACTATGCAGTGGATTCTGGTCTTTCCTGTCACAACATAATTGCATCCAAGACTTTCACTTTAATACTTCTGTATATGCTATAGTGACAATAAAGAATGTACATTTATTTGAACTAATTCATATTTTCATTTACATTCATTAAAACTGGTTTATAAAAGTCATACTTGAATGAGTTGATGATTGTTGACTAAATAAAATAAATAAAAATTATCAGCATGATAAAAACAATTGGCTGCAATATTTCCAGTATTATATACAGTACTTTAATAATTAAACCTCAATATGACCTTCTTTTTCTCTCGCGTTTGATTCCTGACGCTCCTAAAAGCTTATGTTGACAGAGTAGTAGCAACAGATAAATACAGATTGAATTCAAAAACAAAACTCCTAACTTTATATCACTAAAATGAAATTGGAAGCCACTAACAGATGCTCACATCCACACTGGCAAGGCAGCATTGACGCCTTCACTGCCAGGTCAAGAAGCTGTCAATCAAAAACACAGGAGCCAACGAACCTCCCCCTTGCTTTTGTTAATTCTAGGAGTTCCTCCAAGGTCGAGGAGGCCTGTGACTTGTACGTGAGAGCTGCCAACATGTTCAAGATGGCAAAGAACTGGAGTGGTACGACACACAGCAACTTTTTTGCACCATAATAGGGTGTTCAATAAGCACGTGTCATTTGTATTGCTGCTTTGTTCCTCTATTTAAGCTGCAGGAGATGCCTTCTGCAAAGCTGCACAGCTGCATTTACAGGTGCAAAGCAAGCACAACGCAGCCGTAAACTTTCTTGATGCTGGCAATGCATTCAAAAAGGCTGATCCTCAAGGTACAACTCACATTGTTTACATTATGAGCAATAAAAATCTCTCATTATGTAGCATGAGTGTCTAATTCAAAAGAAGGAATTCTATTATGGCTTTTCTGCAACTTTTCTACACAGAGGCCATAAGCTGTTTCTGTCAGGCCACTGACATCTACACAGACATGGTGAGAAATAGTAAGTCTTATTTAAGCATTCAAATACAACTCAACATGGTTAATACACTTTTCTGATTAGGGATTTTTTTCTTATAAATCTGTTTCCACAGGGACGTTTCAACATTGCAGCAAAACACCACATATCAATTGCTGAAATCTATGAATCTGAGTTACTGGACATAGATAAAGTAAGTGGGAAGTGATCTATTTATGTAAACGTACACATTTATCAATAAGTGGCTCAGATCAATATCGACAGTACGAGTATAAAAATACACTACCTCTCAAACGTTTGGGGTCAGATATGAAATTAATACTTTTATTCAGAAAAGGATGCATTAAATTGATTAAAATTAAAAGTAAATGTTTGTTACAAAAGATTTCTATTTCAAATAAATGCTCTTAAGTTACTGTTCATCACAGAGTGCTGACACAATTAGGGTTTCCAGAAAGCACCACAACTGTTTTCAACATTGATAATTATAATACATGTTTCTTGAGCAGTTAATCAGCATATTAGACTGATTTCTGAAGGATCATGTGATGCTGAAGACTGGAGTAGTGGCTGCTGAAAATGTAGCTTTGCACATCACATTTTAAAATACATTAAAATAGAAAACAGTTATTTTGCATTGTAGTAATGTTTAGTAAAAAAAAAAAGTGTTTAAATTTGAAAAGTAATGTTTTTAATGCATCCCGATGATACCATAATGACCAAAATAAGAGCCCTTTCTGAAAGAGTGAAAGGGAAACAATTCATTGTTAAATTGCTATTATTTGTGCCCAGAATACTTATGTTTATTTGTTTACAGGCCATTTCTCATTATGAACAGGCAGCAGATTATTACAAAGGGGAGGAGTCCAACAGGTACTCTTTGGCTCTATCCGAAATTGCCCCCTATACCCTCAAATAGGGTACTAATTGAGGGGACAGCCATTTTAAGTGGTGTCCGAAACCATAGTGGGCATTCTCGAGTGCACTCATTCAAACCCACAATGCACTGCAAAAACGAGTGTACAACCGATGTACACTCAACGGCTAGAGATAACCCTTAATGCACTGTGAGAGTGGCGCGCCGAATAAATAAATACAAATAATGCAAAGACAGGTATGAACTGTGAGAAATGGAGACAGCTAGAATCGCTATTCGTATATTGCATGAGAATACTCACCCTCAAAATTGTCGATGTAACTCGAAATATATAATTTGAAGCCCTTCTCTTTCTTACTGTTGGGTGTAACAGCTGATTGCCTCACGATACGATTAACATCATTTACGGTAATCCGGGGAAGCTCTTGTAATCAGCGAGTGTATGTCATCCTCTCCTGTGCCATTTTCACACAGTTATCGCCAAAAGCGAAAACGGCTTCCGGCGCTGCACCGGATGTAACTGAGCTGGCTGAGACCAAACGCGGAAGCGATCTTGTATAGAGTCTATTCCCGCGTCTGTCTCGCCAGAAGATGGCGCCCGCAGCTGAATCCATTCATTTTACAACGCACTCGTCCATGGCGTAATACAGCGTAATACAACACATGTACAAATTCATTGTAAATTGACTATTAAATTGTTTAACTAGGATTTATACATAATTTCCGTGTCAGAGTTCAAGATAATTTCTTTAATCTTACTACTGGACCTGCCCATTTCAAATGATTATTACAGCAAGCAAACTATGCTAAAGCGACAGTCCTTCCGGTGCACTCAGTGTCTGAATTCACTCACTCGTTTTCATTCACTCCTTCAAGTGAACTGAATGAGTGGACTAATGTAGAGAATAATAAATGAGGGTATAGGGGGCGATTTCGGATACAGCCTTTATCAGTGTTGATAAGTGTTGTAGAACCATTTACGTTTGAGCACAAAAGCTGTGTTGTAATTAAATGATTGAATTTAGTATTATTAAACTAAATGAACTCTCTCACTCTCTTTAGTGTAGCCAACAAATGTCTTCTCAAAGTGGCAACCTATGCGGCTCAGATGGAGCAGTACCAGAAATCCATTGAAATATTTGAGCAGGTCTGTGTGATTTGATCACAGTCGAAAACCTGTGTTTATTTGTCTCATTCATCCTTCATGTTGATTGGCATGTTGTCTGCTCAGATTGGGACTTACTCCATGGATACTACTTTGCTGAGGTATGGTGCTAAAGACGATGTTAAATTAAAAAGCTAATAAATTATTTGATTCCCTCCATTTTTGTTGAGTATTAATATTTCAACGATGTGGGCATACATACAAAGACAGTGTTTAGATCGAAATGGATTGTTTAAGGAACTGCACATATAAAACTTTAAGAATCTGACCATCAACACACCTTCTGAAGCAGGTTTATTTTTGTCTGTTTCAATCATCCTCCTCATCTTCCAGATCCTCTGTCTCATCCAGGGCTGCCGTCTGCTCCTCCAGGGCAGCTTTCAAAGCCTGCTCTTCCTCCACACTGGGGTCCAGGGCCTCTGTGATTTCAGGCCCACTGGGGTACTCATTTTGGGGTGGTGGGAGAATGGTTGGGGTGTATGCCTTTCCAATATATTTCATCCCCCAACCAATGTATATGTTTCCAAACTTCCTGAGAGGGAGCAGAAGAATGGTTTGCCTCAGCAGAAAACGTATCAGTTTGATGGAAATTGTTGAACAGACAATACATTTTTAAAAGCAAGGTTCTTACCTGCCACTAGCATAAGCATAAGATCCAGGCCAGAGGTTGGAGCGCAGCACAGCGATGGAAAACTGAGGAATGAGGTTAGTGGAGATCATTGAGCTCCAAGGTGGGGTGTCATTCATCTCTGTGGGCAGAACATATTCTGCATTAGAGTTCGACATTTAAACTGCTGGAGGTGTTTAATGTAAATGTTATGCAGTGTGACTGACTCGCATCCTCAGACACAGGTGTCAGAAGAGGAGGCCCGACTTCCGGCTGCAGCTCATCAGGTTCCTCCTCCCTCTCTTCCTCCTCGGCATCTTCATCCACGTCATCCGCAGACTTCTTAGTTA